TTTCAATACACCAAACTTATGTCGGAAACATAACATTTTAAGAAGGCTTTTAGTGCAAAATAATCGTAAAATGAAGCTATAACTGTACAGTCATCATGTTTAGTCAAGTTATTTAATGTGTGAAAACGAAGCACAGTAATGGATATCGCTTTGAGCGGCGGGCGGTTGTTAAATTATTACTGTCTCATAACAACATCCGCGAATAGAAGATTTTTGTTGCTTTTATTGTGTCGAGTGAACGAGGCATAAATAGATTTAACAGGTTTTGACATTTAAAAAAATTTTATGCGTGTACTGCAGCGGCAAAATATCAATTTCGGTTCTCATGCTCGTGAAGTACTGAACGAAAATCTTGCTTTATCAAATTCCGTTTTGATTTTTGTATATTCACGATGTTGATTTCACAATGCGATATATTATGTTTCGCGTAAATAAACTACATGGGTACTTTTAAGCCCTAGGGGCTAAAGTGGTTTTTACTTTTTAAGTCAAGATGCACGTGGTAGATACCATTTTCCCTTACACGGATCGGTAAACAGTTAATACCAACGACGACGAAGCAGACCAAGGATATGGCGGGATGACTCGGACGCGTGTGTACTGGACTAGCCTGACATTGCTTCAAACCCAGAGCTGTGCAAGTCGAGAGGAGAGGCCTTTGCCCAGCACAGCAGTGGGACACAATTAGTGTTGGGCCATGGAAACATTTCCATTTTGAAAAAATAATATTTTTCAGAAAAATAATTATTTTACGGAATTTTTTCTGTAATTATCCAATTTGACTGTCAAAAGTTGAAGTTACTGAAAGAAAATGATAAAGTCATTATTATTATTTATAAAGCATTGGCTTCAGAGCCATCAGCTTAATGGTAACAAATAATCAAGAAACGCATAACGTAATATACATAAACTAAAAATTAAGTAAAAAATGTAACTACTAAAAGCCGCCATTTCAGAAAAAAAATGGATGGAGTCATTAAAAAGGTTTGCTTTCACTGTTGTGAAATCATTTTAAATCTCGTTTTTCGTTAGCTATACAAGTTTATTTTATAATTCACGCTAAATAAAACATTAAAAGATATTTCAAAACGTAACAATATGAGCTAGACATGATATGAGGTTTCGAAATTAATTTTTCCAATTTTTCTAATATTACTAATTTTTCGGTATATTTTCCGGAAAAATGGACACTATTTGAAATTTTTCGGAAAATTACCCAGCAATAGACACAATAGGCTAATTGAGGTTATCAGCATAAAAATTGTGAAGGTGAGGGATTGAGAATGACCGATGAAAATTTTATAAATTTTATATAACATAGTAATCATAACATGACCATTATATGTACAATTATTATTTTTTTTTAATGTGAAGACAGCATTAACTCTACAATCATACGAAATTTTTAGTAAGGTGTGTTGCATGATAAATCACTGCCTATGTGACCGAACGGTTACTATACCGGACTGCAACGCAGAGGTCCCCGGGTTCGATTCCCGGGCCGGGAGGAATATTTGTATGGCCTACATTTATTTATCTCGTGAGTTTGGGTGTAATTTGTGGTTGTGTATATGTGTCCATGACACCCGCGACACAGGGTTTCCTTAGTGCGGGGCTATGTTGAGTGTGTGCGTTATTATTTTTATTTATTTTATTTATTACTAAATGCTCTTTCGAACTGTAGGTTTTCTCTCTTATTCCCACAAGTAGATCCAGAACAATTTTGATTTGAAGTACTTGTGTCTTCATTGCATAACATGGTTGGAGATATTAGGAAGTGTGAATACTTTTGTCTCCACTACTATATTTATCTCGTCGTCTTAAGGATCGCCTCAAAATTCATGTAAGTTTTGTTAACAATAAGGCAATAAAAACTAGACTTAATATGCATTAAGTATGACTGCTGAATAAATAAATAACCTTAAATTCGTTTGTGTTCTTTGTGGGTAATTTTCTAAAATATTATCATGAAGTATTATTTAATGTTCGAATGTACTATCCTGAAATATTATTTAATGTATCACGATAATATCTTTAAATATTTAAATAATAAAAATTCCTTCCATAATTAGGTAGAGGAAACTAACCCGAAAATTACCCTTATCCGAATACAAATTAAGAAAAAATAAATATACATCGGCGTTAAATTAATCCACGTTAATTACATTTTTTTTATTACCACAAAAAAATAAATCAGTCCGACATACATTAAAAACAAATAGTCCCTTACAATAATTGTAGTTGTAAGCTATTAGTATCATATACAACAACCATCTATATCTCAATCTCAATTATCTCGCTCGATACATAGACACACAGACAAGAATTGAAACCGTTATAGTGTTACTAGAACCGTCTGTTTATGGACGGAAGAGCTCGGCGTTCTAGCTTCAAACAATGTGGTATTTGTTCTGCTGGTAACAACTACAACACTATTGTAATAACTTAGTTAAGAACAAATATTGCACACTATTACGTCGATTGAAGTTCACTCATTCTATTCTCAAAATTAAAAAAGCAATGTTTACGATTAATTTTTAATTTTGAAAATAGAATCAATAGTCAGAGAAGGTAACACCGCATGTTCACTTTTTTGTTACCAAACAAAAAATACATACTATTATTAAGCTGTATGTAACTTAATTTTAAAAAACCGTTTTGTTTTGGTCATTTACTTTTAAATGGAGAGTTTTTTAATTCCATTAATACACAAAACCCTCATGGGTTGAACGAGCTGACAACGTTAGCAATATCAGTTTTTTAAGGAAATAAAATATCCGTTTAATAATATAATTAACAATAGTCGGCAAAAGGTGTTCCACATTCATAGATACATGTATAAATGTACAAAGAGTGATATAGAGTTGTTAAAACTACCAAATTTTAATTCATTACTTTTTTCGAATTCCGGATTTCCGGAAGTAGTTTTCGTCTTAGGACAAAATTATTCATCTAGAAAGTCAAATTTGAATTTTAAAGTAATTCTAGGGGTGTCATGTAAAAAAAAATATAGTAGATAACTGATTTTTCATTACAGTAAACATGCTTGGCGGAAGAAACAAGTATGGTGGCAGTACTTCCATGGGCGAACTTTTCCACAAGAAGCCTGCTGCTACTAAAATTATGGTAATGACGTAGATGCTAATAATGCTGATGCAGTTGATGATGCTTATTTATAATGCTAATGGTGTTGATGGTGGTGATAATGCCGATGATGCTGATAGTGCTTATGCTACTGATCGACGTCCAACGTCGTTTAAGTAGCTTTGTCCTACGATGCAGTAAAACCATTACCGGAAATCCGGAATTCGAAAAAGTAACGAATTAAAATTTAGTGGTTTTAACAACTCTTATGTCACTCCTTGTAGCTATATCTATACATGTATCTATTGATTTGGAACAAATTTTTCCGACAAATAGGCATAGATACGTAAAATATTTTTAATTAATAAATTCCTTGGAGATTTTGGTACGGCAATCGCGTGTTAATTGGCAAATGAGTAACGGCTAAATAAAATGAGCTTATAATAAACATGTAGGCACATTAATTAGGGATGCTCAGTGTATAAAAATAAGCATTTAGTGAAAAAACATGGCATCAAAATTTGGATAAATAAAAATATTTATCCAAATTTTATTTCTAATTATCGACGCAGAACAACACTCTTAACGACTCAATTAAATCATACAAATACAGTCACAGCCACAGATGAATTTGCTAAAGGGCATAAAACAACTACAAGTGAAATGCGATAAATGATTCGTTTGAATGAATCAGATAGGGAAGTCATCACCGATCTCATCACACTTCTCGACGTGGGAACGTATTTTTGTTAATATAATATCAAGTGACAGGTTTCGTCCTGTCGCTTGATATTATATAAAAAAAATCATGCGCCTTATGGTAAGCTACAAGCCTGTCCATAACAGTTGCAGTGTCACTTAGAGCTTTAAATCGAAAAGATCTGAGGGGCACTGCCACTGCGCCCGTCACCCTGAGACATAAGTTGACAAATATGTGTCATGTGCCTGTAATTTCACCAGCACCCTTACCCTTCAAAACCGGAACACATCGTATTAAACCAGTCAGAAGAAAAAGCTTCACATTCATGTAACAATGAGAGCGAAAAATGTGCGTTAGTGGTCCGAGCGGAAGCGAAACGCGCCGCGTCATTATCACTCTTATGCCAGGGACATAAAATCTTTTCTTACCGACTTCAGTCGATTCTACGTTAATCAGTGTGGTGAGTCTAAAATTCAATTTCCAGAAAGAATTTTGACACACTGTATATCTCTAAAGCTCAAATTATATTGCGGCGGAGAGGAGTGGGAACGAATTTTTGTAATATATCCTAATGAACTATATTATCAATTGCGTAACGTATACTGTCCCATTTTAAAAAACACTAAGTATTTTAATAAAATAAATTTCCGGTTATATAATATTGTCCTTTTTTCTGTTATATTGATCGATTTAAGAAATCATTTCCTACGTAGGTTTGTAATGATGATTTTTCTTATTTGTGCACCAAAATTTTTTTAAGAAACATGTCTGTGTTGCCGAAGTAGCGTCTGTCTGAGTCGTAGGTCTGAGTAAAATCATGTCGCTATAACATATTGTCGGAGTAGCGTGTGTCGAAGTTCAATTTTAGAATCAAATTGAGCCTGTGTGGCCTACCCTACCCTAACTATTCTGTTTTCTTCAAATATTCTGCTACCTACATGTTACAAAATCCGCGTTTTTATTTAAGATTTGTAAAATTTCATGATAATAATTTAATGATTTGTAAGTAGTTTGTAAATTTGTAACACCTGTTTAAAATTTCATAACAAATCAAGAATTGAATAGAAGTTTAGAACAATCTACTATTGAATACACTTTTCTTCGTCTGAAAATTTAAATGTAACTCTCTTTTGTGCAGTGAGACATTTATAGTGAAGTAATTACGCGACAAAAGGGTCGAAGCATCTATATCATATCTCCATAGAATAATACTTACCCTTTAACGACAGCATAAGTCGCGCCAACCGTCAAACCGAGGCTAAAAGCGGTCATCCATAGCAGAGACATGGCTTCCTGTTTGTATTGAAACTGCTTACAACGGAATGTTGCACTAATAAACTGCACTTGCTAAGTAAACTATCATTACTGTCCGATAAAAAAAAAATAGAAAACACAACACAGTTACGTTCTAAGATAATAAACAGAAAAGAAATTGTCAAAATATTATTGATTGTAATCGATTTTTTAAAATATTTTAATTAAACACAGATTAAGCAAAGCTGTTTAATAAAAATTTATAGAAAGTATACGATTAAAGGGTTTCGTTGAAAGTGTAGCGTGCGAGTGGCGCGGTCGACTCTGTGTTTACAATATAAACCGGCGGTTCCCTCCCCCGCGACCCCTCGCGGTGTCAACAATAAGCTTCATGATGCAATAACGATGCGGTTTGACAATTTAAAAATAATGAAAATTGCACCGTCATTATCAGAGAATACATAAAAAGTGCAAGAATATAAAAATAAAGTTTCGAGTTCTTAGTAACAAGTAAAAGATTATATCTGTACTAGCGCCATTCGTTCGAAATATAAATAAAAATTGCTTTTTTTTTATCTAAATTTAGAGTGTTTGGTAAAAAGTGAGTTCATAGTTTTGTAATTAACATAACGGCTGAATAGAATCTAAACTGGTGTCATGTGATTTTTTTTTATATAATTTTTTATACTGACTATATGAAAATTGCTGTCAAATGCACCAAGTTTCAGGGTTCGTGAATAAACCTATTATCATCATCACCACACCCACTACTGGGCACGGGTCTCCTCTCAGGCGAGGCTTTACGTCATAGTCCGCCACTCTTGCCTAATGCTGGACTCCACACGTTTGCCGAGCCTCACAAACCTTCTTCGACGATGATTTCCTTCACCAAAAGTCAAATTAAATTTCGCACATAAATTCCGAAAACATCAGACGTGCGAGGCTGGATATGAACCCATGGCCTCCTGCTCGAGAGACGTTCCGTAAAACCATTAGGCTACTATGGCTTATAAAATGCAATATTAACAAATATTAATATTATACGCAAATATAATTTCCTATGGATATGCTATTACGCTCAGTCGTTAACAAAAAGACATATTTTATGCTAACACCCAACCCTCTATTCACGCAATATTTTGCCAAGCTAAAGGAGACAAGATAAACAGAGGGATGGTGATGGGTATTTTCTCCTTCGCAGTTAAGTCACGTTTATACCCTTGTCTATCTCGCTTAAATGCTTATTGTTGATAATGATTTACTGGATGTGAAACGTGACACCGCCCAAGTTATGTTAAATGGTACTGATTCATCAGTAAAATAAAAATTAATTTTTATCGATTTACTGCACACACAATGGAAATATAAAAACATATTTTGCGGATTGAAAATCGCGTATAAGTTGCTTCTTTCTTTTGGCTCTGTCCAGGGAGCATACACCCGTTTTTTGTCCGATATCTGTCAGAAACAATTACTGTTAAATAATTAATACACGAACAAATTAAAAGAGGCATGATGCGAATGAAGCTTCGTACTTGACATTGTTATTTGATTAGGTCGAGTATTACTTTGACTGTATTGTTTCGGACAGCTGTCGGACAGACAACGGAATAGACCCCCTGGTCCTGTGGTTACGACTTACTGAGTTGGTAAGTCATGACCCAATAATTGTCCAATATTACTGTGTACCTCCTTATTTTGATTATATTAAAAAAGCTTATTATAAATTCAGTGCTGCACTTCCAGCTCTGCCGTCCGCTACCTAACTAAAGAGAGGCTAAGTGACAAAATATTTTTTAAGGATGTCATAAAAAAACCATAACCCAGTTTTAGAATAATGAAATTGTTTATAAAACGGATATTTGACCATTTGTCACATAGCCGCGTTTTAGTTAATGGGCAGCAGAGCTATTAAATGTTTGTCATGATATGAAAAAAAAACATTCTTCTTGATCTTTTTATTTATGATGTCAAGTGAAGAGACGAACTAATCGTGCGCCTGGCAGTAAGGGCCCTGTCCATAACAATTGCAGTGCCACTCAGAGTTTTACATTGCAAAGATCTAAGGGGCACTCCCTCTGCGCACGTCACCCTGAGATATAAAGTTGACAAGTTCATTAAAAAAAACCGGAACGCAATAATGTGAGCATTACTGATTGGCGGCAAAATTAGGTTGTTTTTATAATATCAAGTGACGGGAGGAACAAGTCGTGCGCCTGATGGTAAGCTACAGGCTAGTCCATAAGAGTTGCAGTGTCACTCAGTACTTTAAATCGCAAAGATCTTAAGGGCACTGCCACTCTGCCGTCCACTAACTAAAACGCGGTTATGTGATAAATGGTCAAATATCCGTTTTAAATAGCAAAAGACAGAGCACAAAATTATCTTTTAAAAGCAGTTAAAATTAGTTAATGTGTTCGACTTATCGGAACTTACCATAACGATGTATAGCTAAAATATCATTAAACAATTTCAATTTTCTAAAACTGGGTTATGGTTTTTTATGACATCCTAAAAAAATATTTATCACTTAGCGGACGGCAGCACTGCGCCCGTCACCCTAAGGCTTAAAGTTGACAAGTCCCTTCAAAACCGGAACGCAGTAATGTGAGCATTACTGCGTGGCGGCAAAAATAGGTACGGTAGCAGGACTTCCCTGGACGAACTCGTTGATTAGGAGCTCTTCTGCTACTAAATACTAAAACCTATGACGATGCGACCTCTTTCATCGACATACCACCTATTATCACCCTTTTCTCTGATTCTGGCCACTTACTTTTCAAATTTTGAATCGTTCTCTAATTCTTTTTCTCCGTCATTCTTACTTTGCTTCGTTCCGTCGTCACTCCCATCAAAATTCTCTAAGGGAAACGACGTGTCCTTCAATCACGTAAATCTAACTGCTTATAAAGCAGCAATATATTTACGAATACTGGCCCTTTTGGGGCAAGTGTCTACTTTATATTCATCCATATCTGGAAGTAATTTAAGTTTGGGAGTGTTTTATAGTTTTGTACCTATGTTTTATACCATTGCTTTTGTTACAGCCTTTCCTTCTAATTTCCTTACCTTTTCTTTGTTTCTAACTCTGCAATACAAAATCTTGCAATAAAGGTTATGTGGACCAAGCCTTCATTTAATTTCGCAAAGGCTAGGCTACAAACCTATGAATGCTTACTAGATTTAATCGAATATGACGCTTTGAAGTGTAATTTGATTACTTATGAAATAAAGGTAAGTATTTAGTCTGATCTGAAATTGTTAATTGAACCACCTCATGTTAATAAAAAAATATATATATTCTATTTTTTTATTCCAATTAAGATTTGCAAAATATGTTCGAAATATGAATTTTTAAATTAAAAAATCTTACTGCCTCCTAGTCGAACTGTTACCGTGCTGGACTGCCACGCGGAAGTCCCGGGTTCGCGTCCCGAGTTCGATTCCCGGGCCGGGAAAAATACTTGTGTGGCCTACATATATTTCTTTCGTGAGTTAGGGTGTAATCTGTGGATGGCTATGGTGTATCCATGGCATCCGCGATGCAGGGTTTGCGTTATTATTATTATTACTCGTCACCTTGAGACGTAAGTGGACAAGTCCCATGAGCCTGTAATTTCACCAACATCCTTACCCTTCAAAACCGGAACACAGTAATGCTGACATTACTGCTTGGCGGCAGAAATAGGTAAGGTAGTACTTCCCAGGACGAACTCTTTCACAAGGAGCTCTATTGCTAGTATACTATACTTTGTTATAGATAAACGTAATCTCAGTACAGAGTACTAAATAAACCGACCTCAAAAGTTCGTGGAATTACATCTATTTGTCTAGTTTTATTGAAATCGGTTACCGGAAAGTGCGCGAAACCGGATTCAACTCCTAGCACCCTTAGAGGTGGAATATTTTCTTCAAATTTAAATGGGACCACTACTGAAGTATCCTCTTACCAACAAAAAGATAATCATCAAAATCGGTTCACAAATTCCGGAGTTATCGCGTAACATACATACAAAAAACTGTCGAATTGAGAATCTCCTTTTTTAAAGTCGGTTAAAAATTGTTACGCGGTCGCTAGCGACAACCATGTCACAGTAATCTCGTGGTAACGGCACTGATATGGGTAGGCGTGTCGCTTACCACAGACGTGACGTTTTCGTATCGTCATTTGATATCATAAAAAAATAAATAAAAAATAATACTTATTGTGAAATACGACAATATACAAATTTCATAATCTTTTGCAGATCGAGAGGTCATCCACTCAGTCAGGCTGAATATCGGAAAAATATGAGACAAATTGTCAATAAATAACTTATTTATTATTCAATTGTGATACCACACACAGATGTAATGTACAATGTTATCCACTTGACGTAAATGTATTATGTACGTCTTATATGTTTAGTGATATGAATGTGAACCTATTTCCATAATATAAATATAACTGATTTCGTATAATATTGCAGTTTCTAGTTTATTTTTCCTCTACGTAACGATATATTTTTACCGACCTCAAAAAAAGAAGAGGAGGTCGAATTGAGAATTCGACAGTATGTTTTTTTTTGTATGTATCTTGCGCGATAACTCCGGTATTTGTTTTTCCTGACACCGATTTTCATGATTCTTTTTTGTTGGAAAGAGGGTACCTCCGTAGTGGTCCCATTTAATTTTGAAGAAAATCATCCACCTCTAAGGGTGGCTGTTCACGCATGAAGATTAATTTTTATAAATAGCGCCTAAATTTGATCACAAGGTGCAATTATTTTAATAGTTGATTTTGCTATTCTCCAATTCAAGGCGTTTTTCTCTCTCAATACACTTTGAGTAGTGAGAAGAGATTTTTATTATCTCCTGTGTCAAGTCTTGTATAGTGGCGAACTAGGGGATATTTCAATAAAACTTGGCAAATAGACGTAATTCTATATGTATTTTTGAGGTCGGTTGTTTTAGTACTCTGTATTGAGATTATAATTTATTCAATCGCATCCACTGTATAAAAGAAGCCTTGGTAGCCGAATGGATTGACCTACCGCCTATTAAGCAGAGGGTGGTGGGTTCCAATCCGGGCTTGTACCTCTGAAGAAAAACATTGCGAGCAAAACTTTTTTTTATATATAATATCAAGTGACGGGACAAAAATGTCGTGCGCCTTATGGTAAGCTACACGCCTGTCCATAACAGTGGCAATGCCAATCAGAGCTTTAAATCGCAAAGATCTGAGGGGCACTGCACCCGTCACCCTGAGACATAAGTTGATAAGTCTCATGTGCCATAATTTCACCAGCACCCTTACGCTTCA